TGTCAGTGCTCTACGTGGCCTAGTGGATCTTTTTAGACTCGATTCAGCTGCTTATTGTGCCTGGGAAGTGACCCGACGGTGGGCTGGAACCACGCCAGAGCCCTTTAATGGGTGGCTTGCAATGGGTGGTGCACGCGCAGGTGACTGGCGCAGTAGAGCATCCGAAGCAGGCGCCTGTTGCAAACGGTCTCGTTTTCTTGGTGATGCGTATGATGCTGTCCAGCCCGGCGCTGCATTTGATGTGGGATGCGGTGTCTGCTGTATAGGGAAGGAGTTTTTTGGCGCGAAAATTTTGTGATTCAGTGGGTTAAGTGTTCAGACTTCCTTATTTGCTGTCCAATCCATCGATAACGCCAGCCTTCATCTCTGCGGAATATGTAAGATCGAGGACAAGCAAGTTTGTCTACACGAGCTTTCGGGAACCATCTCTTGTAATTTCTTATTCTGGCGATGCCCCTTTTAGAGAGAATTGTGTGAGGTATGCCTTTGCCAAGATACCGAAGATGTTTCTGGACTTACGGTGTTGAATCTGCTGAGATGTCCGGAAGTCATCATTTGAGCAACCGCACGATTAATAGCTGACTCGGAGTGCTTCATCCGTCAGGAGCGAAATTCGGTAATTGAGCAGCGCAACCCGAAGCTTCTCACCTGTGTACTCACTTTTCTTCAAGAGGTGCTTTACGGCCTGTACCCTTTTCTGAGCTAGACTATTGGCCCAGGATAAGTGTGGTCTGGAGATCGTGTGAGTAAAGTCACACTTCGCTAAATCTACATTCGCAAGCTGTGAATTCATCCGCGCCGAGTCCTTCATCAGCGCCGACGTCTAGGGGCATGCCGTGGCGTGCAAGAATTTTACCTAGTGTGTCTACTACGACCTGGATTGCTGACTGCGGCAAGTTTTTCACTTCGGGGTAGTTGGAGTCGGCACAGTAGGCAAGTAGTGGTGTCAGCCGTTGGCAGATTCGGAGCACTTCCAATAATACTTTCCTCTGCTTCATTCGGGGCAAGTCTATTTCATTGGCAGATTGAGAACACTCCCTGTATGTTCATTGGCAGATCTAGAGCAGCTTCGTCGCAAGACCCACTCCACAGAGCAAATTTTCCTACTCCGCGAAAATAGGCGGATTCGACCAGAAGTCGCTAGTGCCCCGGGCTTTCAAACGGTGCCGAATTTCGGCACACCAACGGAGGCCGGTCGTGTCAGTTGCACCTTCCTTTTCAAGATAATCGCAAGGAAACTCAACTAACCTGACCACTCTTCCATTTTGCCATGATGCCTTGCGAGACAATCCACGCCAACGCCTGCTTATGTGCATTTAGGCACATTTGATGTTTGTCGATCTTCTCACAGTAGGCGCAGCGTCAACGTTGTCCGCTCGAGCGAGAATGTCCAGCAGCGTTTGTCCTTTTTTCAACTCTGCACCTTGTCTTCTCTTTCAAGAGCATGGTGTCGCTTTGCTGCCAATTACGCGGTTTTGCTAAGGCCGACTCTAAGGTCAGGCCCGTTTCCTGCATGCTGGAGGCGTGCACGTAGCTTCTTGTCGATGATACCGCACACTATCTGGCCTCTCACCATCGAGTCTCTTTCTAGTCCCTTAAATCGCCGACATTAGAAGTCTGTGGTTCAAACTCTACATTGGGCAAAAACTGCTCAAATTATTCACCCTGCTGTTGTTCTCGACTGCGCATAATGCAACTCTCAAAAGTCTCGTGACACCGAGGCGTGTGGTACTCTTCAAAACTTTGACGATGAAGTCATAGGCCTCTCGTTGTTCTCCCAAGGGTAAGGTGCTAAAGACTTCCACTGCGTTTGGGCCCGCGACGTGAAAAAAATGGCAGTCTTTTGTGCTGGCGTCCGTTTGTTGTTGGTCTTGGTAGCTCTGACGTAATGTTCAATTCGTTGGGGAAACTGTTTCCAGTTGTCGGCCGGAGCATTTGTCAGTACAAATCGACTGGGAGGTCGTAGACTGTCCATTTTCAGCGCCAGGTTTGTCTATCACACTTCTGACACCATGTTCTAGATTACACGCTCAATGAAGATACAACCACACGATACGCTAGCAAACAATGTTCTGTTCATTGATCATTGATGGCTACCGCGTAGCATGCGCGACCTCTCTCAAGGTGTCCAGGGAAGGGGAGGTCACTCTGTTTTATAAAGTGGCGGCCCGCCTAGTACAACTAACATCCACGACAAATGGTCCCGCACCAATGCCGTTGCCGTGCTGCAGCGAGTGCTTGTGATGAGCGTCACGTATCTACCTAAATCTGATAACTTACCCGCTTTGAAGCGCGCAGAGGAAACGAACTTTTGAAAACATTTTTCTGCGTGGTTCGAAGCTAGCAAATTATCCCTGTGCCTCGCTTATACATCATCATTCACTAGGTAGACTTTCTTTCAAGCCCTGCGAGATGCCAAAGAATCTGCACGATTTTGAAGTCACCCTGCTGAATTTTGCCGGAGTTTAGACGTGCACCTCTTGCTGGTAATACCTGTATTTTGTACATCATGGCGTGGTTCCCGAGCACACGCACTTATTTGATGAGAGGGAGCCCCTTTTACTTTCGCCGGTAGGTTTGCATTGCAGTCACAGAACACACGAAGGCCTCATCGTTCGCCAGAGCAGCTTCGTTTGCAAAAGGAGTGAGCTGCTAGTTAAAAGATTTCAAGCATGGACAGTTGGTTGGTGCATGGCCAACAATTGCATCGTGGTGCTCAAACACAAAGACGTAACAAGCGTGACAGTTGTCAATTCACGCTCCTCTTCGGTATAGCTGTGCGCACTCTCTGGGCGCTATTGCGCTGGAGCAGCATTGCGAAAGTGTCGAGCCGTGGCAGGTTTTAACGATCGTATTCTGTGTTTTCTCCTCATGCGTTATTTCCGTTAGAGCACCGCTTTGCAAGTTTTAAGCTGCTTGCCGCCCTTCGTCGAAAAATTCGTGAACAGAGGTTGTGTCGAGCCGACGTTCCGACAAGTCGATTTGTGTTCCTCATGGCTAGAAAAAAACTTCTCACTCTAGGGCTACGCTTCGTGCTCTCTCTTTCATGCTAACAAAGGAGGGGTAGGGGAGATAATGATAACGCGGGTGTAGGAGAGCGGGGGAAGGGGAAGTGCTGTGCTGAAGTCCATTAGCGACGAAAGAACAGATATTCCGTGAAAAAACAAGCAGTGAGAAGCTCAGGATGCACAGGTGCCACGGGGTCACGGTTGTCGAGCCGGTTGTCAGAAGATAACAATGGCAGGTCTGAAATTTCTTGACAGAGGGCTTAACTCACAGTAGTTTTCCTTGCGTCCCATCCTTACCGAATTGATTCAAGAGCTCCTTCAGGAATGTTTATACCTACTGGCTGGATCGTATTGAACTTGCGAATAAGGGACGACTCTGTATATTCACTGCCTCTTGTGAACCAGAAATCTGACTGAAGAATGTAGAGGTTGAGATCATCGAAGTTGAGTCCTGCTACATTGTCACACTCCAACAAGTTGGACTGTCACCCTCGAGTTTGTTGCCGTCGTATTCAATGAGTCGCCCTTATGGCGAAACTGTGAATGTTTGTTGAATAATTTTATTGGCATGGTTCTACAGCCTTTATGCGTGCATCGCCTTAGGTCTCGGTGCATGAAACGTCGCCTGCCGCTGCTGTCGTGACGATCGCTCAGCTTGAGAGCAAGAAAATGAGCCCCCGCCTCAGTGATCGCCACGTGGCGAAAAAAAGTGAGTGACGCACGTTCATTACGGAAAGGCTCTTCCTGTGATAAACACTGAACTACCAGCTCACAAGAAACTAGAAACCACGCTCGACCGCGCGAGACAGCGCCGATACAGGTAGCGTCTGCTATAGGGCTGCATGAATGATAAAGCCGAGTGCTCAGGCTTCACAACCATTCAGCGGCAACCACGCATATGCATGCAGTCCAGCAATGTAGTGTCGGTGGAAGATTTTTCTTCTACCTGATTGAACAATACAGAATCACACCGTGCGCGTAACGAAAAGCAGACGGCTAATCTCTGTGTCTAAAGCTTTAGGGGAATATACTCTAAAACTACACTAGTGAACACTGCACGCTTCACCCTCTCCAGGTAAGTGAAGCTGAAACCCTTTTTCCTATATGTCCGGTCGCCACAGTTCTTTTGCGTTCGCATGAGTCGCAAGGAGAACCATGTTTCACGTTTTCTTTTTTACACCTTTTTTCCCTCTATTAGCCGTTGTATTTGTTACAGTCACACATTTACTCATTGTAGTCGTAAATACAAGTTTTATTATAAGGACTACATATCCACTGAAAAAGTTCCATGTTTATTTTTGCAGACAATATTTCACTCGTTCGACTTTAATCCTTCCTATTGTAATGGTAAACAACAATGAAAGTATGTTGAAATAAGTAATTGTGGGTTTTAAAGCATACACTCCAAAAAGTAAAGGGGGAAAAAGGTTATCGAGGTTGCTTCTTTAAAGAAGTAACTATCTTGGCAGCCATTACATCGTTTTGGGAGTAATCTTGCGCTAGCGGTTACTTCTCAAAGGAGAAACACTTAGCGAAAAAAATCAGGTTGTGGTTGGCCTAACCAGCCTTTACAAGTGTGTGCTAGCATTTGAATAAATGTACAGAAGATGTGTAAGCATCACATTCCGAAATAAATTTTGAAAAGCTTGCATAAAACACACGGGATTCGAGCTCACAACCACTAAGTCAGCATCCCCTACACTAACCGCTACACCACACCACGCTACGGCACTGTCTGAAAAGAAACGGGCTTGTGCAGGTAACGATGGGAAGTTTGCACATGGCGCGAACATTCCTGCAGTTACTTCAAAAAACGGGCCCTTTACTCCACAAGGAGGAAAGTGCCTCTCCTTGCTGTGCCGTGTGCCATCTTTCGTACACTTTTCTTCTGTTGGAGGAGGAAAGGGCCATTTTCGAGATAACTGCGTAGTTTCTCCGGAAAACTTTTTACAGTGTAGTGGGCTACTATAGATAACTGCGTCAAATACTTACTGTCTTTAGGCGTGATGTTTATGACATTCGAGACATTATAGCCAGGTGATGACATTAGTGTGAAGGTCGATTCCCTGCAAAAAAGAAAATAAACAGGACAAAATACACACGCAGCGCTAACCTTCTCGTTCACCTACTCATTTCATGCGTTTGATTACTGCAGTTGATCACAGTCGCAAGAGTACCAAGTAAGCGACAAGGGTCACAATGACATCGTAAGAAAACTTATTACAAGTACTCTAACCAACCGACATTGAAGGAGGCTTCTTTGTGAAAAACTGCACGTAAAAAATTGTTTGCATACTTTCACAGTCAAAGTTATCCGTACACAAAAAAATGGCAGATCCCAGGTACAGTGGGAAACGATGATATGTGAAGCACGAATGAGAAAGGTTAATATGTCATTTTAAGATCAGAAAAACGTTACGAGGTGGAGATAAATGATGCCTTACATGACTTTCGTGTCACCATTATCATGTTTGAATGTGTCGTTTACTGTTGTCATCTATTCACGTCACGTGATACCAAATTTAGTATATCTGGAGATAACGAAACAACCTCAAGCACGCTATGAGCGTGGTATGTTGTGTTCTTACATGACGCGCATGTTAGGATTATCATGTTTGCACCAGTAATACACTTTCATCATCCATTCACGTCACTTAACATCAAATTTTGTATATTTGGAGCTAGCAAAACGGCCGCGAGCAAATCATGAAGGGCCCATTGTAGCCCAGTGTATTGTTGACGCGCGCGTAAACTAGGCACCGTGACGCTACGTTAGCGAAACGCGCGCACTCCAGGGGCGACCGGCGCTGCCAGATGGCAACCGGTGTAAAACACGACATGCTGCGTTTCGCGTCGATGCGTTACCCAGACAACACTGCGTCTCCCTCTTTTCGTAATGGAGGGACACCGGACGCGCTGGAATGCGCATGCGTCAAAGCAACGCAGCGCAGCGCTAGAGTGTACTAGAACAAGGGAGGTGCCCGGAACGGCCGCAGCACGAATGTATTAAAAGTGAAGCCCAAACAGGATTAATCCGCTTGCGCGCTGCGATCGGTAGTCTGCAATGTGTCGTCGTTTGAAGAGCCGCGCACACCTCCACCAAAGTGGTCGAGGGGTTGATTGCTCGCTTCACATTCAAAAGGCGCAGCTTCGAGTCGCAGCTTTGGTCAATGGATTTTCTTTTTTCTTAATTTTATCTGCACAAGTGGATTGGTTATTTTTTTTAAACCTGGCTTCAGTTGCTACATACTGCGACAAAAAATCTCGCGAAATATGACGGTGTGCTTTCATCGCAGGCGAGTGAAAGCACACCGTCATTCTTATTCGCCGAAATTTCGGAAGCCATGCTTTAAAGTTTTGTGTTAAGTCCTGTGCGGTGGTGCTGCAAACAAATGCGCTCATTATCATGGTCTTTTTTTTTCTTTACTTCATATTACGCGTGATTTCTTGCAGCAATATGTGGCAACTGATGCCAGATTTTAAAAAAAAAGCCATTCAATACAGCTGTGCAAGTAAAATCGAAAAAAAAGAAAAATCTATCGTTTATAAATGCAATTCGACCTGGCTTTTTGACTGGGAAGCGAGCATTATACCCCTCGACCACTTCGCTGGAGCTGCGTACGGTTCCTAAAACGACGACACATTGAAGACTATTGATGGCAGCGCCACAAGCGGATTGACCCTGTTTTGGCTTCAATTTTCGGAGTTCGGTCCGGGCGCTCCCCTTATTCTAGTACACTTTAACAGCACGCACCTGCGAGCATATGGCAGGACCGGCGCCTGGTGTCACAACGCCAGCGTGACGGGTTGAAATGAGCGCTGGCAAGGGCACGCACCGCGTCACGTCAAAATGCATTGCGCATTGACTGTGGCATTCAGTCAAGTTCTCACATGACACGCATCTCATCATTATCGTGTTTGCACCAGTCACATACCTTCGTCATCCGTTGATGTTACGCAATACCAAATTCGGCTTATGTGAAGCTAGCGAAACGGCCGCAAGAACATCATGATTGTGGCATGTAGAGAGGTTGCTACATGACAAGCATGTTGTGATTATCATGTTTGTATGTGCCATTTACCTATGTCGTCCGTCCGCGTCACGTAATACAGAGTTTGGTACATGCGAAGCTAGCAAAATGGCCACAAGCCATTATGAGCGTAGCATGTAGTCATGTTGTTACATGACACACATCCCATGCTTATCATGTTTGCCCCAGTATCATACCTTCGTCGTTCATTCACGTCTCGCCATACCATATTTGGTATAAGTGAAGCTAGTGAAACGGCCGCCAGAGCATCATTAGCATGGCATGTAGTCATGTTGTTACATGACACGCTTCTCATGATTATCATGTTTGCACCAGTCACATACATTCATCATCCAATCACGTACCAAATACCAAATTTGGTATTGTGATGCTAGCGATACAGCCGCGAGTCTATCATGAGCTTGGCATGTAGTCATGTTATTACATGACACGCATGTAAAGATTTTCATGTTAGGGTCTGTCTCATGTGTTCGCCATGCAATCATGTTATACCATACCACTTTTGCAACATGCCATGTGAACAAAACCACCGCAAGAGCTGCAGGACCGTGAAATGCAACATCATGTCATTCATGGCATCCATTTCATCATTTTCATGCTATGACTAGTAAAATATGTTCTTCATGAAGTCATGTTATGCCATACAAAGTTTGGCATCGATACTACTATCGAAACGGCCAGGAGAGCTAAATATTGTAGGCGGCTAGATAGATTAGATAGATAGATAGATAGATAGATAGATACATAGATAGATAGATAGATAGATAGATAGATAGATAGATAGATAGATAGATAGATAGATAGATAGATAGATAGATAGATAGATAGATAGATAGATAGATAGATAGATAGATAGATAGATAGATAGATAGACAGATACGCTCAAAGGAGCCCCGCCGCTGTGGTGTAGTGGCTAAGGTACTCGACTGCTGACTCGCAGGTCGCGGGATCAAATCCCGGCTGCGGCGGCTGCATTTCCGATGGAGGTGGAAATGTCGTCGGCCCGTGTACTGAGATTTGGATGCACGTTAAAGAACCCCAGGTGGTCTAAATTTCCAGAGCCCTCCACTACGGCGTCTCTCATAATAATATGGTGGTTTTGGGACGTTAAACACCACACATCAACGCTCAAATTCACTGAAGTTCGCTAAGAAATGCTTCGCATTTGAAAATTCGCAGATCCCGCGTACAGTGGGAAGCGATGATAAGCGAAGCACGAATGAGAAATGTTGATATGTCCTTTTAAAATCAGCACAACGCTACGAGGTGGAGGTAAATAATGCCGTACATGACTTACGTGTCACGATTATCATGTTTGGATGTCTCGTTTACTTTCGACATCTATTCACGTCACGTGATACCAAATTTGGTATATCTGGACCTAGCGAAACAACCACGAGCACTCCATGAGCGTAGTATGTTGCGTTCTTACAAGACGCGCGTGTTAGGATTATCATGTTTGCACCAGTCATACACTTTTATCATCGATTCACGTCACTTAACACCAAGCTTGGTATATCTGGAGCTAGCAAAACGGCCGCGAGCGAATCATGAAGGGCCCATTAGAGCCCAATGTATTGTTGACGCGCGCGTGCACTGGACACAGGGATGCTACGTTAGCAAAACGCGCGCACTCCAGGCGCGACCGGCGCGACCAGCATCCGTCGGCGCGGCCCGACGGCGACCGGTGTAAAATACGACATGCTGCGTTTCGCATCGATGCGTTACCCAAACAACACTGCGCCTCCCTCTTTTAGGGGCGAAGCTCCTTATGGCCGTGGCTTGGGCGTCCCTCGTAGGACGTAACCACCAGTGGCACATACCCGAAATAGGTACAACATTTGACCTCCAAGGTGGTGCCGGTGAGAGATTTTTTCTGTGCGTTGTTTAACAATAAAAAATAGTGCTCACTGTACATGCCAATGGCTCCTAATGGGGAATGAGAGACAGGAGCATTCGGCTTTTAGTCAACGCGCACGCTGCGATCCCCATTAGCAGCCATTGACATGTACATTGAGCACTGTCGGACAAGAAAGGGTTGCTACATTATACTCGCTGGGTGTAACCTCCGTAGTTTTAGAAAGGTTTAGCGAGCGTTGAGCCGCAGGGCCATGAATACAATGAACTAGTATATACCATGAATGAATTCGAGGTGGTTAAAGGGGGAAAGCAGATACGAAGCGCAAGCCGTAAGAAATTAAAAGCTGAATCCTCCTGTCTCTCATTTCACATAAGCAGCCACTGGCATGTACATTGAGCACCATCTGACAGGAAAAGGTTGCTACGTTATACTCGCTGGGCGTAACCTCCTTTGTTTTAGAAAGGTTTAGCGAGCATTGGGCCGCAGTGCCATGAATACAGTTAATTGGTATATACCGTGAACTCAAGGTGGTTGAAGGTGGGAAGTAGACCCGAAGCGCAAGCAGTAAGAAAGTGTGCGTGTAACACCTCTCGTTTAGTCCTTTGAATGTCCACATAATGGCGTTGCTTCTATAGGGGGAATATATGATAAAAAGATGCGAGATGGTGGGAATTGGAGTGTTGAATAGATGGACGAACGGACACACAGACAGATGCATGGATGGACGCATGAACGGACGCAGGGGCAGATGCATGAACAAACGCAGGGACGGGCGCACGAACAGATGCATGGACGGTCACACAGACGGACGCATGGACGTACGAATGCTTCGCCCCACTCTCCATCATTCACTGCGTGGATATGCTGCCATTTTTTCGTACTGAAGGGATGTCGGACGCGCTGAAACGCGCACGGGTCAAAGCAACGCAGCACAGCGCGAACTTGCGAGCATAAGCAGGGCCAGCGCCTGGCGTCGCAACGCCGGCGTGACGCGTTGATATGAACGCTGGGCGAGTCGCGCACCGCATCATGTCAAAATGCATTGGCGCCTCGACTGTGGCATTCAGTCATGTTCTCACATAACACACATCTGATGAGTATCATGTTTACAGCAGTCACATACCTTCGTCATCCATTGACGTTACGCAATACC